AATTAAGAAATTGTTAAATTCGCGGAAAGAAAAACACTGTAATGATGGCTATTGAGCACGCGAAATACTTCAAAATGCCTGTCTGATTCTGAACAATAAAAGCATTTTATCTTTCAGAGCTATATATGAAGAACGAACAGTCTGTAAAATTAATATTATTATTCTTAAAGTCTTACAGAATGTTAATGACGTTTCACTATTTAATCTATTGAAAGAGTCCAAAGAGTTTTGGACTTAATTAAAGGATTTCGATTTTAAGCATGAGACGAACAACGAAGTGAAGTCAATCGGGGGGAGGGGGGTGAATTGTGTGTGGTAACGGTTCCATTTGACGGCCAGTGAGAGTAATCGCTGGTAGCACTGGCTTTTGATCAATATTGCATTTCCCTTGCCATCTGTGTCAGCTGGTACCAGCGACTGCGAAACAAATGGCTAAAACCCAATGTGTAGAAGCATGGATCCGTGCTAAAGTCGTCATTATACAAAAATGAACTCTATCCATGTACCTATTTCAAGATGTTATTTCGTAAATTTATTTGCAGTTTATTTAACGACGCTACCAGCAGTTCAGACTATAAGTGTGCCGTCAAACAAAAGATGAATAATGAATAAGATTGGATCCAGAAGAGGTAAAGTCTTAATTTGAAATACCCTCCAGACGTTAGCTTGGAGGGATTAAGGAAACAAAACACAGTCAACATATCCAGCCAATCCTTCTGTAAATATACGAAATTATGATAGAGAAAATTGATATGTAAAATATAATATTATTGCAACCAAGCGAACTATATTTTGTTAAAAGGCTGCAAGTCCAACCGGGACGAAAAATGTAGATAAAAATCTGATTATGTCAGTAAATTTAACGTGTTCTATGTGACACATATTTTATTAGTAGTTATATAATTCTTAACAGATTTCCGCCAAAATATGCTCCAATTGACATTCAGGTTCATACATTTATCACGGTAGGCATCGTATCAGCTCTAGCAAGATTGCAATTTATTTGATATATTTTTATAAATATGACTTCTATAACACTTCGTCAATAAATTAATATTCCCAAACTGTAATGTAATTTAGAAACTGTATTTTGCTTCATACGCATGTAATTAGCATCCCATTTTTCAATTTAAACAACGTCCTGAAATGGAAACAAATTTCATTGAATTATTATTTCTGTTTTAAGGTAACAGTAATTTAAGTTTAAGAATCCATGGCTTACCAGGTTTCTGAGAAAAATGACAAGTGAAAATGCAGGAAAAATTGCCGGTGGAAACTTTTCTTGAAAGCGGTTTAACAAAACCGCTTTCAAGAAAAGTTAAGTGAGATTTCAGGTTATCATGGCGGCGAGTACGTTCTAAGCCGTTCGCCGCTTACTCATTTCCGTGATGATCGAGGCAGCAAGTACTTCTTAAACGTAGGTGAAATTATACAAGTCTACACAGCCATTTTCGCGTTTGTTCTTATTTCATTGAACATAAATAAACATTAAACTGTTTAATGCTAAGTACTTTCAGTGTCCCTATGGAAATAGCCTGTTACCTTTGCATTAAAATCGGCCATATCTAACCACAACAATAGAACAAAATGAGTAGAATCAGGTAGATGGCGAGTTTAATTTTAGAATCAGGTTGCAGCCAAATAGCTTTTGAATTTGTGTATTCAAGAATTGATCAGAAGTGAAGGAAAGATTCTTTATGCACTCCAGATGGTTGGAAACAAATAATGAGGCCATATCCGGCCTTACAAAGTAACAACCATTCTTCATGATCATTTTATGGACGTTAACGATGTTGCAGTACATTTTCGTAGGCAATAGCAGACAGACGGAGAAAAATGTTTCTTCATGCCGCAGTTAGATCGCCATAACATTACGAAAAAACAGACACACACAAGTACTTTTCACACTGAGGTTTGAGGAGTGCGTTTGCCAATTGATCTTGTACGTTCTTACGGAGAAAGACAGTTGATTTCTTCTGCAAAGACTACGCATTCTAACTTTTGTCAGACCTCTTAGCGTCCAGAAACTGCCATGGATATTATAGAAACCCATCGTCTACTATGTGAGCGACACATACTGTTACCGAATTCTTCAGGAGTCTTGATAGAACGTCAAACAAGATAGAAAATATACTACCAGCGTAATAAATGTGGCGCGTTTGTCACAATATGACTTTTGCAATTAGCAGCGGTCATTTCAGAGTTGTCTGGAGTCAATGTCTTTTGCGTGGGCTACGTGTCCGGCTTGGTTATGACGTCATCACGAAGGACTCCCCACATGATTTCTGATGATGAGGCAGCAAGGACCTCTAAAATGTTGATAAACGTCTGCCACACTACACGTCTTAACACGCTTCGTAATCATCGCCATGAGAACCTCAAATCTCACTTGAAATAAATCGTCTCAGGACGGGAGCTAGTGATAGGCTTTTGTGAACACAGTAATGAATTTTTGAGGTGCGTGAAACGCGGTACAATTATCGACCAGCTGAGTAACAGCCCGTGTCTCAAGAAACAACACGCAGTGTTGTTTGAGATATTCCCTGTATTTGCCTCCCGACTTCTGAGTGCGTGTTAAGTGTGTTTAAAATTCTGCGTTCGCATTCGAACGTGTAGGTGCAGCGTGTTGATTGGAATCGTTAGCCAGAAAGTGTCCCAATGTTTTCAACCATTAAACCTCTCTTGAACAAAGTTGAGGAAGTCGGTTCCGCCCTAGACATAGAAGATCACGAGTCCTCTTGAAGTGCATGCCTGGTACAGACGGAAAGGTAACGAAAGAAATTGGTCACGTGTTGCAGTGGGGAAAACAAACCCCGTCTAGGAGACCGAACGTCGCTGACGAGTGGTTGGCAATAATGTTCCATTTTCAAGAGGCACCGGGTTGATATCTCCGCCCGGAGACCAATTATCTTGAAGGGGGTATTTCGTGTTTTTCCTCAGTCTCTCCAGCCAAATTCCGGGATATTAGATCTACCTAAAAATTAAGTCATGGGCGATTTCTTCCATAGTGTTTCGAATTAGTTATTGACTAATGATTTTATTATAAGAGGTATATAATTTGAGCAAATGACAGCGTTATTAAATATAAGAAAATAAATTATAACAATATAATATTAACATCATTATGCTGAAATAATTGAGCTGGCTGTAATGGCAGTGATAAGCTTCCAGATAAACCACGCAACGACTAGCATAAAGTCACGGAATATAATTTCTCTGGGCGGCTCACCTCTGTTTCACTTCGGTGTAAGTAATAACACGCGAGGTATGCGTGGTAGTGTGGCGCCTACTGTGTTATGAAAATCACATGCAAATGTCACATAGCCGTCGAGCACATATGGGCTCGTATGAGCGTGGTGGCAGAATTTGCAACAGAAGGGGTGTACCTGTTAAAAAAATTCAGTGAAACATCTACGATGGCGAGGAATATATTTATACTCTCGTACTGAAATTAGCCAAACAAAACAATACAATGAAGTGGAAGCATGTACTAAGTTTCAATCACAAATTTAAAATTTAATTTCCGTTATGTACGTAGGTCTTAAAGCGTGCTGTTAAGAATAATGACAAGAAAGATGGACGTAGTATATAATATTTAAGGTTTTCTGAGGACGGAAGCAGTTTGACCTCAGAAACTTTGGTAAACATCGACCAGACTACACAGCGCAACGACCCAGAAGACAGAAATCTTCATGGACGGAGTAACACGAGAATTTATAATTTACACTGTTCACAAATATTAACGTCTTCCTTGATCAACGAAATGAAAATTCTAAAAATAAAATGACTGTGTGAATACTCACGAATCTCAGGAATATTTATGATGTTGCACTCTCTTCTCTGCCGGCCTGAAAGATAAAATTAAAGTCAGGATGTATTAACAGACATCTGTGTGGGGTTGTTAGTTTTATTGACCATAATAGTTTAATTTTCACTGCCTCCTGTAGGACATTCAAGAGATCAAAGAAATGCTCTAGTCATCTGTTTGTCTGCCTGTATTTCAACTTTTCCACCTCCGTAACTGTTTGTACTATTCACGTATATTTATATGCTCCGTCCATCTCTTCTGATGGAAATGGTGCAACAGCAGAGATAAAAATGATGCTCACATAAAAATGTGCTTTCACGCGTTACATAAAATATTATCTAGAGAGTGTTTCCAACCGGTAGTCCTCGGTCCATGGCTTCATTTCTGACGGCCTTCGCGATATCTTAGAGTAGTCGCCGTAACAGCTTGCTGGCGGAAGGTTCTGAGAACTTCGTCTAGACCTGGCAAAGTCCAGGTCGGGGATTGGAGCACGACAAACGTTTACCATATACTCACTCCCCCCCCCCCACATTATTTCTGCTGGGCCAACAAACCAAATTTTGTTTCAACGCATTCTATAGTATCAGCCACGAAACAGCATGCTTCAAGGCCATGGGACTTTGCCCCCTTCCCCCCTTACGTAAGGCCGTAAGTCAAAAGCATAGCGTTTACGCTGCGAATTCTGAGCTGTCTTCACTTGTCCGGACTCCATTGTTTGTTTGCAAAATTGTACGATTTTGATGTGACCTTGAAGCATGGTATTTGATTACGACAACACCAACCAAAGGTTAGTTCGTTTTGTTTGAGCTCTACAACACGACTGGCTTGTCGTTCTGTACGCTTGATACAAAAGAAAAATAGAGAGGGAGGAAGTGACAGGAGACTGAATAGAGTTGGATAAATAATTCGTAATTTCGTAATTTCAACTTTTACGCAAATACTGTTAGGGTGAGGTGGGAGAGACGTGTAGAACACAAGGGATAGGTAATGAATGCATATAGATTTTTTTGGTCTGGCAACCTGGTGGAAAGAGACCATTTCCGAGACGCAGGCATAAATGGAAAGATAATATTAAATTTGATTTTAAGAGATGGGATGTGAGTGTGTGGATCTGTTTCATGTGATTCAGGATACGGACCATAAGCAGGCTATTAAGAACACTTTAATGAATCTTTGAGTTGAACAGAAATTTTTTGACCAAATGTGCGACTTTTGGTTTCTGTAGCACTGTGCTGTGTGGAATTGAGAGTGACATCTTCACTTGACGGTTTCGGTTAGATGATCTACGTATATACATCGAGGTTCTAGGAAGTCTGAGTGTTTCATATGTGCTCACTTAACAGAAAACAAAATGTTTTATAAATTAAATTTTTTTTGTTTCAACTTTCTCTGAAATGAAAGTACTTATATTTTTCTCTAGCGTGCAGTTTTTTATAACTCCATTAGTTTCGTCCTTCATCTGGAAGCTGCCCTCTTCATATTTTTCTGAGCCCTAATTTAATTTCACTTGAAGACAAATGCCAATTCCACTTTTAAAACGTTGCGTTCATTATGAACGCACGAGGCAGTGGGAAAAATAAAGTAAACGAAACTGAAGTTCCCTGTACAAAAAGACACGAGGCTTTGTCTGTTATTGCTTATATTTGTTTCCTTTCGTCAACAACAGTTGCTCGGCAACACGAATCGATATGAAAGTGATGTTAATATTAGGCTGCTTCATATGCAATTTTGAGGGAAAATATTAACCAGACGCTTGGCATTTAGTTGTACCATGGGGAAGATAGACACGTGTACCTGACAGTAAGTAAGCCTATTTTTCCTTATTAAATACGGAAATTGGGTTCAATAGTACTTGGCATGCGATACAAAACTGTCGACTTTTTGCTTACGTAACATTTCTTTCCGAGTTTTTCCGTTAGTGTAGGGGGCAGAACAGCTCCGGTACAGTCTTTCAATTCTACACTACATCACTCTTGGCGATCATTGGTCTACAAATGATAAAGATCTCAAATTACAACTGTCACGAATGAGATATAAGGTTCTCACGGCGGCTAGTATTAAAATTACTGTTTCCTGGGTTAGTTCGCCCTGATGATAGAGACAGCAAGGACCTTTGAAACATCGGTAAACTTTTACCAGACTACACGGCGCGACAACCCAGAAGATAGCCATCTTCATCCTGTGTTATAAAGTTTCATTTGTTCCTTTCCTGTTCTGCATAATTCAGAATCCATTTCAAAGAAGCTCAGGATTAGGACATTTGTATTACAGCGCATTTCTGCATTTGCTGTTCGTCTATGTTGCGATAATAATCGTGTGTGTGAAATAGTCGCGTGACTTTCGAAGTGACTCAAAAAAAAATAAAAAGCTACATCGATTAATATCGCAGCCGAGACATGCCATGGCTGCTCGATCCTTTATCTTAAGCAGAGGCGATATTTCGACTTACTCGGCTGCTTACCCTCGTACATATTTTCTGTTCGCACTGTTGTGGAGTGCTTATTAAAACAGCGTCGTTTATCCGTCCGACCTATACGCATATAGCAACTCGAGGTGGTTGGATAGGTTTTCATAAAATTTGACAGTGGGAAATATTTTGACAAATCGAGCCATTTCAATTTTGGTTTAAAAATGCCAAAAATAATTGCCAGTTTACATGTAGACGTACACCAATTTCTACTGTCTGTTTGCGGAATGACGACGTCGCCTGTTATAACGTCAGAGCGCAAACATGCAGGTTCTACCCTCGCCACCTACGTAAAAATCACTCACTGACTTGAGCTATTGTCTCAAAAGTTAAGAAATACAAACGTAAGTTGTTTTTGTGCGTCTGTGCAGAACTTTACTGACAAATGTAATAGCTTGTTATTGAAAACAATTTAAAATGAAGACAGAAATCTTCATACTCACCGCTGTGGAAACTTCAAATAATACAATTTAAAATGATATGTAACGATTGTACGAGGAAAGGACAACATGAGAATAGCAGAAAGATGACTCTTTCTGGGATGTTACACCGTGTAACGTGTTAAATAATTGCCGATATTTCTGATGACAGTTGCCTTAAACTAGTCGCCGTGAGATCCTGAAGTCTAACAAGCTAATAATTTTCTGGCATTTATCTTTATATATTCTGAAGATATGCAAATGTATTAAAATTTAAGTTTTTTTCTGTAGCTGACTGAATTTTACAGTTAAAGTAAGAGGAAGAATTCATATCGGAGGTACCATTATCTTAGATGTGTGATCTTTATACAAGGAACAAGACTGTGGTCTCTGTTGCTATTTAAGAGGACAATTATTTTTAGTCATCACAGCTTTAAAAGGCACGCAAAATCCAGAAAAATTACTAAACTTTTGCATTAAAGATCGTGACACTCAGTTAAAAACTAATATTTAAAAATTTCATAATTAAAAATACTGTCTGTCATGAAATCCTGGTTAGAAAATTACATTACCTTCACATGATTACAGCTTGACTTCACCGTCAGTTTAGGATATTCTTTATATCTTTTAGTCCTGCAACGTAAAGGGATATTCATTGCCTGCTTGCTCTAGTTGGAAAATTAATCCCATTAACAACTACAAACTATCTCTTAAAATGCATGAATAGGATATTAATTAAGAGATTACTCTCATGTTAAACTTTGTCTTGTAATACATAAAAAATCTATTTGAAAACTTTGTGGATCTTTGCTATATTCAAATAAACAGCTAAGAAATCTACGTGCATAACTTTTATAATTTGTCCTTGGCGTCAGGATAAGTATAAGTAGAAATTCATTACGAAATAGTATCTAATTGATACCAACGAATTAAATGAAATTGGTTCGTGTTTCTACGGACACGAATGTTTTAAGGTAGAATTCGAAACTCTGTACTTACTGTACGTTTCGTGCGAAATGTATAATTGTAACTTGCCAAGAACAATAAATCATATTTCTGAAACTTGCTCTTATTAGGGCACTGCCTTTTCAGCATACAGAGCCCACTCCGTGTCGGTTCGATAGGTCTATATTTCACATTTAAGTTATACCTTTAACCTCGCAGCCAAACCACGCACGTAGAATTCCTTGACAATAGTCGTACGAAATGTGCTGGTTGGACTATGGACTATTGACTACTGTACCTTCGGAAAACATTATACGAGGTGCGATCGGAAAGTTTCAAGACTGCGCGTATAAAAACCCGTACGCTTGTCTCAGGTATTAAATTCATCCATCACCCTCGAAGTAGTTCCCCTGGGAGTGAACACAACGATCCCAGCGCCGCTGCCAAGCCTGGAAGCATCCCTGGAAATCTTTCTTTGTCAGCCGGTCAAGC